TAATATATATATATATATATAATGCTAAATAACTATTTCTGTGGACTGTTAGGTACAAAGATATTGATAGGAGTATTCCTGCAGTTGAGCAAATGATAAAAGCAGCATTTCCCTGATGCTGCATATCACCAGGAGCCTAGTTAAAATGTACCATCACATATGGATTTACAGATCTGTAAATCTATATAGCCCGTAGCCCCTTCCTTGCTAGAGATCTGTAGGAATCTTCTCTCTTTCCTGTCACCTATACTGGACATAGAATACTCCTATCAGGGCCACAGGCCGGCTGAGGGGGCCGACCTCACCTCCAGCAAGAGAATATTTTGTAGGGTGGGGCCACAGCAGGAAATGCTCTTCTCCTGGACCCTGCTAGCTGAAATTCTTCAGCAGATGGGATCTGAGAGGGGGTCAAGCTATTCTCCAAAACACCGGAAGGCAAGACAAGAAGCAACTAATCAAGACAAGAAACTAATCAAGGAGAGAACGAACCTAGAACTAAGGAGAAATTTCCTCACAGTTAGAACAATTAATCAGTGGAACTACTTGCCCCTAGAAGTTTTGAGTGCTCCAACACTGGAGGATTTTATTTTATTTTATTATTTTATTTTATTTTATTATTTTATTTTATTTTATTTTATTTTATTATTTTATTTATTTTATTTATTTTATTTATTTTATTTATTTTATTTTATATTTTATTTATTTTATTTTATATTTTATTTATTTTATTTTATTTTATTTATTTTATTTTATTTAATTTAATTTATTTTATTTTATTTTATTTATTTTATTTTATTTTATTTTATTTTATTTTATTTTATTTTATTTTATTTTATTTTATTATTTTATTTTATTTTATTTTATTTTATTTTATTTTATTTTATTTTATTTTATTTTATTTTATTTTATTTTATTTTATTTTTTATATTTTATTTATAAAATTTATTGGCCACCCATCTTACCATAGGGTAACTTACAGCAGTGTTTCTCAACCTTGACAATTTTAAGGCATGTGGACTTCAACTCCCAGAATTCCACAGCCAGCATTGCTGGCTGTGGAATTCTGGGAATTGAAGTCCACATGCCTTAAAATTGTCAAGGTTGAGAAACACTGACTTACAGTTACATCTAAGCTAAATCCTAAAAAGTTAAAATCAAGCATTAAAACCAAAGACACATGGAAAGGGTGAGTGTGAAGTGGGGGGAGAGGTGGGATCTGTTATCACTCAATCAACCGCCTCCATTGTGCTGTTCCCCCACTGGGGCCCCAAGCCAACTGGCAAAGCCACGTCTTCAACCCTTTACCACTAGACACCTGGCACATTTGGCCATGATGTGAGGTGACTTTTACCCTATCCTGCCCGATTAGAAACTTGCCATGGGTTAATAAAACATTTCTTATGCTGCTTCCATGGAAATGGAGATAAAGTAAAATTTGGCCAGTTGAGTGATTGTACTCAAATGAAAAACATATGTTTTGGGACTGCAATTCTAATTGACCTTAGTCATCATAATCAAAATAAGGAATAATGGGATATGTAATTTAGTAATATCTGAAGCGTCACCATTTTCTTATCCCTCACTGCTACAGCAACATTTCTCTCAGCATGGCATATTTGTGTCCATTAAGGCACAACATTCCTCTGCAGGCAAAGAGTCAAATTGTGCTATATGTCAGTGCTACGCTGAAACTGCCTTTGTTTCCATGACTGTGAATCTCTTCTTTTTATTTGACATATTCTTTGATTTGTTCTTTATTTTAGAAAATCAAAATACTATAGCTTGTAGTCATATCACTTTATAAACAAATTAACATCCCCCCCTTTTGGCAGCTAGTTTAATAAAAGAGGTTCAGCCATGAGCTGTCTGCTTTATTGCTATTGTTCTTGTTGTTGCTTGTGAAACTGCAGCATAGTTTGTAAAAAGCAGTCTCAAAGAGCTACTATATTCCACAATAGATATAGATATATGCATATAGATATAGATATAGATAGTCCTCAACTTATGATTGATTGTCTAACAATCGTTCTATGTTATGACAGACCCCAAAAAAGCTAATGAGGACCTGTTTTTGAAGTTATGATGGCCCCGCCACATGATCACATTTGGGGCACTTGGCAACCAGCTCATCTTTACAGTCATTTGTGACGTAGTCATGTGACCACAATTTGTGACCTTTTTTGCTAGTTTCCAGGAAAAAAACCACCCAAAATTGATTTGCTTTATGACAACTGCTTTTCACTTAACAACCATTGTGTTCACTTAATGCCTGCCATAAAAAATGACAAAAAATTGGGTTTGATTACGTGATATATGGGTATTCCAAACGTTACTTGAAAAATAAGTCAAGTATAGATTGATTTTGATTGACCTAAAGAATCTAACATAGAAAAGCCAGAAAATATAATGTACAATGAAAAGCAGGGTGAGTAGTATATTAGTTTTGAATTAGTGCCTGTAACTGACAAAAGTAAATAAATGGAAGCTTTGTGAGTTTTTAGAAAATACTAAGAATTACAGAAATAGAAATATAGTAATTTGGCCATTAAAATGTATACCACTTTCCTTTTCTTCTTTTCCATTTTTGCCTTGATTAATATGTTTTGCATATAAATCTAGTTGGCAAAAGCATGATGATGAATAGGAATTGGAAGCAGATCCAAGATCCATTTTTTAATTGACCCCTTTCTTAGCCATGTACATGTTCAATGAATTGTAAGGATCAAAGGTAGCAAAGTCAGAGAAGGGGGAGAACCAGAAGATTGTCTGTTCAAGTAAAGCAGCATGACAGACTTAAGTTTCAAAAAGTAAATTATAAGTAAAAACAGAGTACCTCTTGTAAGGGATTTTGAAAAGAAAAGAATACTTATAATTTAAAAATAAAATTACAGGAAAAGAACATAAAGAACCCCATATATTATTATTTATTTTTTACAAACATGGAGTTGAATATATGAATAAATAGTAAACATTAGGGTTGACAGATTTTAATACCATATTGTGCTGGTATGTGGAAAAGACCTTGGGAGACTGGAGCAAGAGATAAGCCAAGGGCCAAATAAGAAACAGCATAGCCCACAACTGAATAGTTTTGACAGGGCAAAAGATTCAATGTGACTTTACAATAAAGAGTAATTAGCTCACCTGGTTTTAAATCCTATCTGGTTTATCCTGTGAGGCTAACATTAGTCTTGCAAGCCTGAAAGAAACTCTCTTCCCCTGTCTCCTTTACAGTTCAAGAAACTTGGTTCCTTTTGAACCTCTTGCTCTGCCCACTATCCAGTTGCAGGCTATATTATCTCTAAACTGACTGTTCCCATCTCTTGGCCCCAGTCTCCCAAGGTCTTTCTCATACACCATCACACACACAAATTTGGGTGACCACTAGCTAGCCACACAGAATTCAAGTCTTCTAGATCAGTGTTTCTCAACCTTAGCAACATTAAGATGTATACACATCAGCTCTCAAATTCCGAGCCAGCCATGGTGGGAGTTGAAGTCCACACATCTTAAAATTGTCAAGCTTGAGAAACAGCGTACTTGATCATTTTGTTGCCAGCTAGCGGTCATCTGATTTAGTACAGCCATATATGATAATACTAATAAGCAATGTAATAACTTTGAACATGAGGAGACTGACTTTCCCTTTCTTCATAATCACAACTGGATGTTGAGTGTATGGATCTGTCCCTGACTTTTCTGACTTTTAAACAAGATGCCATAAAAGCATATTGGGAAATTAGAATGTTATTCAGGTTAACGATGTAATAAAGGATGTCTCATCACCATAGGAATGCAGGTGTGACATGAAATAATATTGTACACAAATACCACTCCATTTATTTTTCTAACCATCTTAAAAGAAAAAATGTGGTTAAAAAAAAAAAAACCCAGAGGACTCTTTCAGAACGTACTGGTTCCCTGCAGAAGATGCCAAGCATTTTTATGGATTTCTTTGAACAAACTCCAGAGGGCTTCCGCTTAGTTTGTGTAGAATAACTCCACTCGTGAAGAAATTCAATTACTGAGCTAATTATCACCCTGACTGAGCAGTACGAACAAAATTCAAAGTAAGAAGCCACTGAAGAAAAGCCAAATGGCTCAGTTGTCCCAGGAGTTAATTTTTAAAAGAGATCATACCTGACAGCTGGAAGCCTGTGGCTGAATATTCAGCTCAGTTTGGAATGTTGAGTATTAAAGTTGGACAGATCCTTATAGCATTTAACATGTTGCTGCCATAACTACAAAGAGATTTAAAAGTGCAAAATAGATGTAATCCATTGTTAAATGACTCCAAAATGTGCACAATGTTTTAGGTTAGTAAACACCATTATTTGTATTTTAAAATAGCCATTGTCATTTTAAATAACCAGAGCAAAGCTCAAAATTAGAAAAATAAAAATAAGTGCAGATTTGGGGTTATTGGTTCTCATACTGTAAAATCATACTGGGCATTTTCTTCCTCTATGTTACATAATATATTTCCTGGTAAATCTGTTTTTAAAATATCCTTGCAATGTTTTAATGGTGATACTTCAGTTTTGTCACATACAGTTGGTGCAACTTATTGTTTATAACCTATATATGAGGATTTCAGTTTATCTGCTGAAAAAAAAATGTGAATTCCAAAATCTTAACTAAAAACTACTTGTTTCACTAAACCGGTATTCTATTCATCATCCCTCCCTGTATAAGCAAATGTTTTTTTCTTATATTTAGTAAGTTTATTTTTTGAAATGGTGATATTAATATTTTCTTTAGATGCAAAGAGACAAACAAGTGATCAGTCATTAATAGCTATTAGGCCAGGGGTGTCAAACTCGCAATGTCACGTGATGTGTCTGCAACGTATCATGATTTTTTTTCCATAGCCAGCAATGGGGTGGGCGCAGTTTCGGCATGACACATCCGGTCCGTGGGCTGGCAGTTTGACACCCTTATATTAGGCACTGAAATGCTACGGCTACCATTATCTAGAATGAAAAAATCTGAACCATTAGATGGCAGCAGAGAACTACAAAAACACATTGTTACCATCTAGTGGGCATATAGATGTTTACAGCTCAAATATGGTAACCCTATTTTCTACTACCATCCTATGACTGTATTTTGGGATTACCTTTTTCTTCACAAGAAAGTGGGAGTGAGGTACTTTATTACAAAACCCCTGTTCTCCAATCTCTGAATAGTTCATTAAATTGATTTGGACTGGAGGTAGCAAGTTAATTGTCATGGTTCCGATAGATGAAACCCATCAAAAGAACTTCAAGGCAAAAATTCTTCCTTAAAGAACATTTTATTCAGGAAACAAAGTATCGGCACTACATAGTTGAACCCAAAAACTAAATTCCCTTCCCCCGGATACAAGAAACAAAGTGCAATTCCTACCCCCAATAAGGTGTTATAAATCAATTCTCCAATTAACCTAAAACACAGGCTTTCTCCCTAGCTCCTCAGCCCACCAAAACGTTATCAGCTCGTCCTTGGGTTCCCACAAAGCAGCATTATTGTTATAGCTAACTGAGCTCAAGCTTTCATCCCAACCCCCCCTTCTCACCTAATTTCTAAATAGAAGAAAAAGCATGTGAAAAGCAAAGAGAAAATGTCTGCAATTTTCATCAGTTGTCAGAGCAGGAACATCCAATGTTTACATTAATACTTGTGGGAGGTAAACACACACCCCTCTTAGTGGAACCAAGACATTCCAAATTCTATTCTTATCATACATCTGCTTGTTTGATTATTCCAATTTATACAGCTGCTCATCTCATATGTATTCTTCTGTGGCTTACAAACATATCAAACTGACAATACAACAATTAAAAACAACATAAAAGTATATAAAAAAAACCAACATAAAATTCATAGCCGAGGTAACCACATTTGACAATAAAACTCAAAACAGCTAGCTGGCCAGCATTACCACATTCCCTGGTCCCCGTGCCTGAGGGCAAAACCATGTTTTCAGGATCTTTTGAAAGGCCAGCAGGATCGGGAGGAATTTAATTTCTGTGAGAACATTTCTAAGAGAACATTATAAATGCTCAACCATGTGGATATTTTATGCATTCTTAATATTTTTGAACTGAACCTGGCTTTTTAGTGGGTGAGCTTTTTCTGAAAAATGCACAATGGTTCAAATTTTCTGCCTAGTGATTAGTTTTCTTTCCTCCAACTTTGTGGCTTGATCTTTTCTGATTGGCCATGCAGATAAAGTGAAGCTACTGAATGATCCCACATATCCTAGTGCAGGGGTCTGCAACCGTGACAACTTTAAGACTTGTGGACTTCAGCTCCCAGAATTCCTCAGCTGAGGAATTGTGGGAGCTGAAGTCCACAAGTCTTAAAGTTGTCAAGGTTGCAGACCCCTGTCCTAGTGTATGTGTATGATTTATATCTATGGTGATACCAATCTGGGCTAGCAGGGCAATTAAGAGAAAACATAAGGACTTCTTAAAATGAATAAGCAAAGGGATAAATAATGAGTAAGTAAGAGGAAAATACAGGTAGTCCTCGACTTACCATCACAACCGAGGCCATAATTTCTGTTGCTAAGCAAAACAATTACGTTTTGCCCCATTTTATGACCTTACTTGCCACAGCTGTTAAATGAATCACTGCAGTTAAGTTAGTAACATAGTTCTCAAGTGAATCTGGCTACCCCATTGACTTCGCTTGTTGGAAGGTTGCAAAAGGGGATCACGTGACTCCAGAACAATGAAACCGTCATAAATACATGCCAGTTACCAAGCTTCCAAATTTTGATCACGTGACCCTGGGAATGGTCATAAGTGTGAAAAATGGTCATCGGTCACTTTTTTCAGTGCCGTTGTAACATTGAATGATCACTAAACGAATGTTTGGGAGTTGAGGATTACCTGTGAGAGCTGAAAATTACTTTTTCACTTCCCAAGCTTTGTTCCATCCAGAGGTCCTGTTTATTGTTTCTTAGGCCTCTGGCAACTTGAGGGAACATTTAGACCAGGGGTAGGCAACCTTGGCTCTTTTATGACTCGTGGACTTCAACTCCCAGAATTCCTGAGCCAGTATGGCTCAGCATGGAAACCTCTTCCTTCCTCTCAGCATGGCTGGCTCAGGAATTCTGGGAGTTGAAGTCCACGAGTCATAAAAGAGCCAAGGTTGCCTACCCCTGATTTAGACTATAGAAAGGAGAGCTAAATTCTGGAGGAGCCAGATTAAAATATATAAAATTTATAAATATGCACAAAATACATAAAGAGTAGAAGGAGAAAACTTCCCTGTCCTCCGGCAGACATAATCTATAGGTGCCTTATCTTTTTTTTTCCAGCACAAAAAGAGCGGACCATTCCAACACAAGATTGGTACTCCAGATTGAAAAGGATGCAGGTAGGAAACAGAGTTTATTTTTATTTCTGTTTGTGAAGATTTGTTTATTCAACATAACTGAACATATGGAATTGGATTCGTAGATAGATCAGCAGAAGATGTTCCAGGAAAGCTGTTCTGCAAACTGTTGCAGAAGAGCTACTAAAAGAGTCCAACCGTATCAGCTGAGCTCATGTATTGAAGAGCCTGGTGCTTCTTTGCTTCTGGGGATATTATAAAAGACTTGCATGGAAGATTACACACACACATTGTGTTAGCAGAAGTACCTAGTTCTTTTCACACAAGGCATCTGTGTTCTGTTTGTGGAAAGGAAGCTGAATCCAATTCATTTACAGTTTGTACTCATGCTACTTTTTGTTCCTCAGGAAAAAGTGAGATATAAATCATAAATACTGAGTAAATGGCAAAGTTTGAAGCATAAAGAAAATGTAGTTCCATGGGACTACAACTGATATAAAAATAATATGAGTACAAATAAAATATAACAGAATATATAGCTTTTTACATATTTATATTTAAATATAAAGACATAGTATATTAGTGTTTTATGTATACAGTATACATACATCAATATAATGAAATGAAAACAGGTTTTTATAGATTTTGAAATATTGTGGTTTTGCAGAGAAAAATATTTTGATTTAGAAGATGTGTAAAAGAGTTTTGGTGTACTAAAGCCATCATTCCTAACCTGAAAGGCTATGTAGTACCGATAGAGTGACATAGTACAGATGCTAAAATACATTTTTAAGCAATGGCCAAAATCTCAAAAAACTGCCACACTTCACAAGTTTTCTGCTATTTGTAAATTAATTTCATTTAATGCTGAGACCTTGCAGACCCCATTGTCAAATGTGGGGGGAGACATGTGGACCTATAGACAATATATTTTCCACATTTTTCCTTAGGTTATGAGTGATACTCAAAAGGCTTCCATGATAATACCATGGTCTGCATTTAGCAGAAGGCTGGGGAATCTACTGATTTCAAGCATTTGGGATAAATATATACAGAATCAATGTTTGAGATGTAATAACTTCAGAGCAGCTGTCACCCAACAGGCCCATTTTTGTTTTGAAAAGAAGGGAAGGAACAGTGTTAAACAAAAGTACCCCCACACACACACACAAAGATGCTTATACTATGCAGGAAGAGCTTTTAATGACAAAACGTAATAAACAATTATGAAGAACCCTGTCCTCTTTTTAATACTATTTTAATACTAGTAGAAATTCAGGATGTTTGCTTTTTTTGCTTCAGGTTTTATTATTTATTATCTTAATTTGGGGGTGAGTTTTGAGAATCTTATAAAGATGATTCTTGCCATAAACTTATTTCTTCATTTATTTCATTGTCCAATCTGAGGTCTTTCAGAGGTGGTAAGACTACAACTCTCAGACCAGGGAACAGCCAGTTTGGTGCAGAGGTTAAGGTGCTGGAATAGGACTGGACAAACCCAGCTTCAGGGCCAAACTCAGTCATCAGTGCTTGTTGGGTGGCACTAGGCAGTCATCAGTGCTTGTTGGGTGGCACTAGGCAGGTTCAACTTCACAGAGTTGTGGTTGCAGAGCAAAGTAGGGAAAGAAAATACTATATATACTACTTTGAACTCCAGGGTGAAAGACAGGATATAAACCTGATCAACAAGTAAATATATCTCCTGTTGGACAAATTGGCTAAGAATTCTGAAAATTGTACAGCTGGAGGGTACCACCTCCAAGAGGATACCACCTTACCATCTGGAGGAAAAATTGTTCACCTCCTTGCGACTCTCGTAAATAGTGCAAAACAAAACATACTGAAACACACATCACATACTGATGTGACCCACTGTTTGTATGAAGTTATACTGATCTGTGGTAGATTTTCCTTCGCTCCCCCCTCATTCAAAGTAAATGCCCTGTAGACGCCCATTTCTTCTCTCACCTTCTCTCACCTTTTTGTAAAGGCAGTAGAAAGTGTGTTCTTGTGTTTTCTGTTGAAAAGTGCTTGGATTGCTTCTTTGTTTTATATATGATGACAATGTATGGTTTGTTTTGAAATTTGATTTCTTGTTTGTTTTGAATCTCACTGCTCAGAGTTGGTTGATTGGAGTAGCCAAATAAACCCTATAAAACAAACAAACAAATTGTGTTTGCTGAAACAGCACTCTGAGAGCCTACATTAAGGGCAATTGAATATATTGTATATTTACTATACTGATACTACATTACAGGCAGTCGTGCAGATATAACTAATACTGATATTAATACATTTTTATTCAATTTGGACTCTTCTCCAAATGGACAAAAATGCCACATTTTTAAACATCTGTATTTCCATGATCCCAAGATCTGTGGATAGCTGAACCAGGTTAATTAGGCAAGAAGTTTCAAACTCATGGGCGTTGTCAATTGACTATGGGATACCATTTTAGCACATTTAGGACGGTTTGGTTTTATTTCATTCATTATATTTAAGTTCTGGTTTTGAGTGCAGCTGACACTCTGACTACTTGTGAATGCTTAACCTTGCAAATTCCCCAAATCCAAAAGGGCAGATCAGTCTGAGGACATAGGATGGAGTTAACCTTGGATGTGAGAAATCAGAGTTGAAAACTTTCTGTTCAGCCAGAAAACAACCTGTATAAAATGGTATAAGCCAAGATTTATACTAAAGAATAAAATTATCTGGCAGTTAGTTCTACCCATTTCCTTTGTATCTGGTACCTATATACCTTTAATATTTTTCTGCTCTAACTCTCTTGCCCCATTTAATTAATAATAAAACCAAGTGGCATGTTGACCATTTTTATGTCCCATTTGTTTGAATAATGGCATATTCTGAAGCAATCAAAACTTGACTGCACAAAAACAAGCAGGTGAAAAATACCAGAAAAACACAAAACAGGTAGTTATATGGGCCATTGTTGTCTTTTGAACCATTACAGACTTATAGATGAGACCAGTAACTTTATAAAAATTCACCAGAAATTATACCAACAGCAAATAATTTTACCAAATGTTCTTAGCTTTCTCCACATTAGTACACTTTGTGTTACCATTTAACAATACTTGCTTTTACTTTTTCCTTTCCATTTCAGCTGGGTTTTTTTTCCTTTTAATTTCAAGTGTAAGAAGCTCAGAAGTATAGGGCATTGTTCTGTGCTTTTCATTTGTCCCAATGAAATTGTTACATAGTCCCCTTTTGAATTACTAAATGTGGTTGTTTTTCCTCAGGTTTTAATTAGCTTATTAATGCAGGGATGCCCTTGACTGCTTATCTGGAAGGAAAGAAACTAAAAAGCTTAATCCATTGTCTCATAACAGAGGCATTTATTGCCCGTTTGCTTAAGCCACAGTGTAGTTGCATGAGCTGTACTATGTATTTATTAACTTTTCACAGAATTAAATCATGGTCAAGTATTCTTGCTCGTCAGGCTTAAATGAGGCAATTAGAGGCAGAATCTGGAAGCTACAGCTGCGTAATGAAGCCTAATGGGTACGATTCAAGACTCCAGTTTTATCCACTCGTTTTGTTATAAGCCACGTAATTTATATTGTGGAAGGGAGAAGGAACAAATAAGTACATTTGCAGGCAAGATTGAGTGCCCCGTATATTTTCCAGTAAGGCAGTGCTCTACATGCCCAATCCCTTATTGTGTACTCAGCAGAAGCATAATAAATACATCACTTCTTGATTCAGTTAAGCCTTTGGTTTCTTGGTGGAATCACAATATTCAAGAATGGAACAAGCAGAAATAAATCACAAAAAGGACTCCTAATATTTATTAGTGACACTTGTCTTCAGCTATTTCTACAAACAGAATAAAGTGTAAAAACTACTTGATGATCCCAGCCGTTTATGAGACCAGATCTGTTGGTTGCAGGAAATGCTCCACTGCCTTCAGATTTCTTCTACATTACCAGGTCCTAAGATAAACGGATAAGACATCCCCCCAAAATAAGACCTGGTGCCACTTTTGGAGGCAAAAATAATAAATAAATAAGACCGGGTCTTATTTTCCGGGAAACACAGTACTTTAGGATCTAAGAAATACCTTACAATGACAGTACGAGTAATCCCTGATACATGTGGTAAAAGGGAACAAGGTAAAAATGTAGTAATTTTTGACATAAGTGCTCTCAAAATTCCCATTGTAGTCGCCAGAAGGAAGCTGGCTATTAAGCAAGCAGTAAGAAAATAGGATTCTTCTCAAAAGATTTATGGCTGGTACTTTTTCATCCCTTTTAAGTTCTTTGTGCTCCTGTGATTTTAGGAAATGATGATAACCTGAACTCCATCTTTTACGAGCACCTAACGAGATCTCTGCAGGAAACCCTTTGTGGAGATTTGATTCTTGGACGCTGGGGAAACTACAGTTCCGGAGACTGCTTTATTTTGGCATCTGATTACTTAAATGCTTTTGTTCACTTGATAGAAATTGGAAATGGTCTTGTCACATTCCAGCTCAGGGGGCTAGAATTTCGAGGTAAGCCCTCTCCTTAGCTTAAAGAGCAGCAGTCAAGAAAAAGCAGAAAATTCATTCATTGCATGCTCTTTGTGGATCTGAAATTTAGCTTGAAATGGTCTATTTGGGTAGCTGCTAAATCATTTCAGATTATTTGAGTTTGTGTAATAAATACTGCCAGAAAGTGACAGGTGGAGCCATTCTTTCCAGGGCCAAAATAGTTTTCTTGTCTTATATTAGACCTGGTTTACTGCAAAACAGGGGATTTATATCTAATTCCATTGGGATTAAACATAATAGTGACCTGGTGACCCATTAGATATATTTAATAGGAAATAAACATGTACTACTGACTTTATTACTTTAGAAATGAAACTCACTAAATTCAATAGTGTGAAACTGTGTATAAAGCTTCAGCCTTCACCATTAATAGTTCTTGTTTCCTGGTTCTAGAGATTGCACTTTGCTTTTTTTATTTTCTCCTAGTGAAATCTATACTGGATAATCTGGGATTATCTTTATTACATGTGATTGTACCTTCAGGGTTATTAGAGCTTGGCTTTTCTTATCTCTGTAAAAAGAGACATAAAATGACACACTTATGCAATAATAGAGTCTAAATATTTACGATGATTAATATGTTATCTAGCAACAAAAAAATCTAATTGACCTTTCATGATATATGAACTGAATAGTAGACAGTTACGTTCGCATAGCTCAAAGTTATGCATATTTTGATTTTCATTATTACTCAAAAATGAAATATAGTTATCTTTGTAGATGTGGTCAGGGAGAAGAAACTCTACAAAAAATATGCCTTAAAGTATATAAGGGATTCAAATAGCAATTAACTAAAATGAGGAGGCTTCTAGTGGTATTATTAATCAATAAACAAGAACAGATAAGAAAAAAGGATGCAAGATATACTGTAATCATAAAATATATTATCATCTCAGTGTGCAGAGCACATATCCACATAACTATGTTAATTTAATATGTTTTCCCCTTTTTAATCTATGTATATTTTAATTTTTTTTCTTTCAATATATTTTTTGGATTGGGTTTATATTGCCTTTATCTGTCTTGTTTATACATATTCCATGTTTTTCTTTTTTCTCTTTCTCTCTTTTTCTTTATGTTTGTGATATTTATTTTAAGTCGTGAAGTGATGTTGTCTCCTTCTAATTATTAGGAACTTTGTTCAAATGCTATATCAATGCTGTACAGTATAACTATTACACAAATATTTCCTGCTGCTTGTGAGGGTTTAAGATAGCAGATTGAGGTTTAGTCAGCACTAGTAATCCGATTTGTTATTCAAGCCAATACGTGTGCTTTTATAAATGTATTATAAGAGATATATCCAGTGTTTTTTTTTCTAAAAAAAAAAAAAAGGTGCTGGAACTCACACATGTCATACAACCTGCCTTGCCTACCCTACAAGGTTCCATCCAAAAAAGGTGCCGGAACTCCGTTCTGGGCGTTCTATGAGAAAAAAAAGCCCTGGATATATCATAGGACTGACTGTTTTGGATTTGGGGTTAATGAAATTCAATTGTAGGATTGTTCATCTATCCACCCACTTTCTCAGATCACTTAGTTCCAAGCTGGTTTGAAAAGACTGGATTTTATCAGAACTAACAAATAAAACCTTCCATACAAAGCTTTCTTAAATTGTTATGGCCTGGCTGTTGAAAAGGCATAGTCAGGATATAAAACCAGAAAGGGTACTCTGAGTTTATGATTATGACATTTAGAAAGCTAAGACTTGGCATGCACATCTGAACTGTATATCCATCTTTCTACATTTAAGGCAAAATATTTGGAAGTTATTGTTACTTTTATTTAATTTTAGGCCAGGGCATAGAATCTGACGTGATTTACTTAGGAAGGTGAAATAAACAGTCTGTTCCTTAGCAATTTCTGTTCAGCACAGAGTAATCAGCCCATTTTATTTATTGTCATATAGCTCTCCCTTTGGTTGGTTTAATTGCTATGTATTAACTATTTAAAGGAGGACCAGCAGTTTTCTGGGAAGAGCTTATTTGCATTGATCTCTGCAGTTACTGCCACTGTGATTATCCTGTGTTTTGTTTCCAAGGGACTTACTGCCAGCAGAGGGAAGTGGAGGCTATAACCGAAGGAGATGAAGACAATGAAAATTGCTGCTGTTGTAAATCAGGCCACTTCCCTCACTTGCTCTCATGCAATGCAGCTTTCAACCTTCGATGGCTGACCTGGGAAATAACACGGACTCAGTACATTCTAGAAGGGTACAATATTATTGACAACAGCGCAGCCACCATGCTCCAAGTGTTTGACCTGCGAAGGATACTCATTAGATATTACATAAAGGTACAGTCATTTTCAGGAAAGCGGTCTGTTATTGATTTATTATTTTCATTTTATGTGGAATGGCTGCCCACTTGCCAAGCAACTCTGACTGGCTATTGAGATTTTTAAAAACCAGTACAGCCATTCATTTAGTGACCGTTCAAAGTTACAGTGGCCCTGAAAAGCATGATTTATGAACGTTTTTCACACAACTGTTGCAGCTTCTCCATGGTCACGTGACAACTCTGGCGAGTATTTATGACAGTTACAGTGTCCCAACATCATGTGATTACCTTTTATGACTCTGACAGACAAAGTCAATGGGGAAGCCAGATTCACTTAACAACAGTGTTACTAACTTAACCACTGCAGTGATTCTCTTAACAGTTGTGGCAAGAAAAGTCATAAAATGGGGCAAAACTCACTTAACGACTGCCTTGCATGGAAGCAGAAATTTTGGACTCAGTTGTGGTCATAAGCCAAAGACTACCTGTACAATGCAAAAGCCACAATGAAAGAAATAAAATGTACGGTATACTATATATACTGTGTTAGGAGTAGAATACAACACTCACACATTTACATCAGATTTATATCTCAACCTGCATATTTTAAACATTCTTCTTTTTTACTTTCCATCTGCTTGACAACCAGATTTGAGTGAGGGGCTGTTTATCAACTTTAAAAGAATTCTGCTCTCTTTTTAGTAAAATGGGTCAGTTCTTGTAGCCTTTCTGCATATATTTGAAATAATTTACTGCATGGCTACTGGAGATTATTTAAACTCTGCCTTCACATTTGCTTGTCAATTTATTCCTTTTTCAAGAGGGAGAGAGAGAGAGCTCACAAAACTGCTTTTCAAAAAAGGGTGGTTCCCCCTCCCCTCCATTTTTGTTGTGTCAGCATAAATCTCCTTAAAAGGCATAGCATGCTTATCTCTTTCTAAAGGCTAAAAAAATTTAAACTCTTCCTTTTGCACTGAAGAAGTCCGTTTCTCCAAATTTAAATGCAAATTTAAATATAAAACTGGAAGGATGATATTCATAAATCTTAAGCAGGTCTAATAACACTTGTATCATTAATCCTCTCCAATGTCTTAATGTTGTCTTTCTTGCAGTTTTCTTTTTTATTATACTGCACCGTTGAATCATCCATCCTGTTCCCCTGAACCATAAGCATGTACCCCTGCAAAGACCCAGGAGTATAAAAAGCAGAGGAAAGTATAGAGTAGTGGTACAATGTGATACAGGGTTTGCTTTATTCTCCTTGGAGGCATTTCTCTAGTGTCTGAAATAATTGAACGTCTCCTAGTTCAACGTGTTACTAAAGCAAACCACATTTCTGTTTTCATGTACAGAGCATTATATATTTTACTGCAAGCTCCCCCAAAGTCCTATCCTGGCTAAGAGATGAATCATTCCAGAAGACACTGCAGCCATTCTCCAAATGGCATTATATTGAGCGTGACCTTGCCATGTTCAGCATTAACATTGATGATGATTATGTCCCTTGCCTTCAAGGAATCACCAGAGCAAGTTTCTGTAGTGTTTACTTAGATTGGATTCAGTTTTGCGCTGGGAAAAGAGTAGAGGTGAGTATTTATCAAGTTTATATAACCTCTTGTAGGTAGTTGCAGTGGTTCTTATCAACAAATTTACAATATAGAGTTCTTTTCTTTTTTAAAGGATGTTTATTGCATTTAGTCCTAAATCACTATCATAAATTTACTATTTACGGTATGCTAAATATTTCCCACCAAATCAATCAGCCTTCCCCAACCTGGTGCTTCCAAAATGTTATTAAATGACATTTCCCATCCTCCCCAGCCAGCACAATCAAAAAGAGACTGGTTGAAGGTTATGGACTCTGTAGATCAACACATCTGGAGAACTCCAAGTTGGAAAAGCTTATAAGAGTGTGTGACTCTTAAAAGGTCCTTGAAAACTAAGATGAAAAGAGAACAAATTGGGGAAAATGGGAAAAAGTATGGCATGGAGAAATTATTTTGTGTTCAAAGTTGGCAACCTGGTGTCCTCCAGATGTTTCTGACTAAAACTTCTAGCAGTGCCTTGTGATTGATAGTGCTAATGAAGGTTGAATTTCCAAACATTTGGAGGACAGCTGTTGCACACCTCATGGTTATATATTTGATTTGACAGTTTTTCAACCTGTCCTTCAAAATGGCTTTGACTAAGGAAAGAAAATAATGTGCCTGCAACCAGATTGGGCAAAAAGAAGCAAAAAAGGTGTTGATAGTCAAACCTGTGTAGTCTTTTTTTAAAAAAAATATTTAGAATAAATAAAATATGCCAAGTACCCATATGTTGCCTTACTTACACTATTAATTAAACATTATGTTAAGTTTCCTTAACATAGGAAACTTAACATAGGATCCTTTTCTCAGAAATTACAATGGTACAATTTCTAGGGAGGTTTATGTCTGTCGAGAGCCACAGCAAAGACTTTGGAAGAAATGGTTACAGAATCAAAGCAGATGTTAAATCCAGGAAATAGAATGCATGAGAAAGAGACCAGACTGAATCTACCTTCATTTACTAGGGCAAGGGTCCCCAACCTGTGGACCGCGGGCACGGGGTGCAAAAATGGGCTGCCGCCATGCCTCAGAGCACAAAAACGGGCCGCCGCCGCATTGCAGGGCAGAAAAATGGGCTGCCACCATGCCTTGGGGTGCAAAAACGGGCTGCCACTGTGCCTCAGGGCGCAAAAATGAGTGCTACGGCGCCAAGGGGTGTGGTAATGGGGCACTGCACCACGCAAGACCAGGGCAGGATTAGTGAGTATCATGCGGGCGCTAGCCCCTCCCCATTTACATTGCGCATGTGCTTGCAGCCCCGTGCACGCATGCACGCATGTAAAATGCTTCCCCCTCCCTTTCCCTCCAGTCTGCCAACTGAGAACGGTTGGTGACCTCTGTACTAAGGTATGGGAAGGAGGGAAAGAAAATATAGATTTTCAGGATTGTTATTACAGCCTATCTCAGTGAAGTGGCATTCCAGGCAAACTTGTGGAAACTGTTTCCTGGCTTATCTTACCTTGAAGGGCTAACAACCATACAGCAATGAACTGATGCAATATTAGTGAGCTTTTGGTGTGGCACTAAATACAGTATTACATGTTTTGCAGCCTGTAGAGTGTGATGAAGATTCTCCTTTAGTAACTCTGTCCTTCGCATTGTGCATTCTCGGTAGAAGAGCACTGGGAACAGCATCACACAATATGGCCATCAGGTAATTTTGTTGTGTGACAATGCTTAAAACAGTAATAGCTTCCTAATGGCTCAGAAAAGTATTCACTCATCCAAATGATTTGTTTTTCCATTTATTGTAAAGGAAGAGGTGCATGTAGAAAACTTATTTTTGAAATCAGCAATTTGGTAGCTTTTTCAGATGAATACATACATCTTGAATAATTCTGTATTTGTAGCACAGGAATACATAAAAGAATGAATTCTTGAATTTCTTGAATTTACCCTTACTTCTGGTGACAACGAACAATTGTATTAATGCATAATTTCTGTGGATTATACTCTCCATGTATATCTATGAAATATATGCTACCTATACCAATTAGAGCTATCGTAGTATACTAAAACATTATATGAACCAACATTTCTTTTTGAGTCCCACATTTCTAGCAGTTAGCTGGATGCTTCTTAAAATATTGCATAGATGTTCACAAAATGTTTTTTTATTTAAACAATCACAATATTAAATCATTACAAATATACAATTCAGATACTGAAGTAGGCAATTAATCATGCTAATGCCCAGACAATCAAAGTCTCCCTGTCTTCTTGAACATCTATTCTAATAACCATTTATAAATAGTGATTATAGCCTTATTATTTTGTACAGAACCTGCCTATTCTTCTAATGCTAGAAGAAGTCTTGAAAAAAATACCTCATTCTTTTTAGTGAAACTTACTGCCTAAGTATATGCAAAATTGCTGCCTTTTCCCTATAGTGCTGTTCACATTGGACCATCGCTCACTTGCTTTGTTTTGAGAGGAAGTGGTTCATAATGTGTTTGTTTTTCATGGAAAACCATAGTTTATATATATCCGTCTCATTTACATTATTTGGAAATTAAATAGGCAAAATGTTGATACTACACATCAATTTCTACTAAGTAAGATATCTATACTGTTGACAGTCATTAGGAAACCATTACCATTAGAGGGCAAAATGAATGTTTAGGGAGGAATACTAAGTTGTATGCTACATCAGAAGTGAAGTTTACATTATATATATATACACACACACACACACACACACGTGAGCTAGTAATTTGCATTCATTTACACATGAATTATGGTCTAATCAGTTTAGGAAAAGTGTTTAAAGGCAAGACATGCTGGCAATATTCTTATGGAATGTATGCAAATAATGTTTGATTTACCTGTCACTGTAAATGTCAGTAGACTGCAAACATTATCTTTTAAATTATGCTGTGTTTCCAACAATTAATAGGACATCGACATTAAGTTCTGTTGAACTTCTTCAGTGCAAATTGGAGGGCATAGCATTATGTCTTCAAACGAGGGATTTGTTATAGAAAACATATTTGTAGCTATTCTTCCTTAGTCAGTTTGGTCTAGTGGTTAAGGCACCAGGTTAGAAAGCAAGAGACCATGAGTTCAAGTCCTGCCTTAGCTATGAAAGCCACGTGGGTGACCTTGATCCAGTTACTTTCTTTCAGTCCAGTTCATCTCACAAGATTGTTGTTGTGGTGAAAATAGAAGGAAGAAGGTGTGTTGGATATGTTCGCCCCCTTGATTTATTTGTAAAAATAAAAAAGCCGGGAAATAAATAAATGCCCCAATAGGTAATCTGATAGTTATTCTGAATATTCTGACTTTTAATATACTACTATCTATAGTGGGTGTGCAGGCTTCCAGGCTTTAATTAAATTCCAAGAGAAGACGTTCTTCCATTTACCACTAATGCAGCATCCCATCTTTGAAACATGTTGGATAATGTCTTCTATTTCGTTATCAAGTTTTAAGAAATCATCTGGGATGAAAAATTTCAAAAAGCCATTTATCTTCATTTAAGAAGGAGCCCTTCAAAATGGGGGAAAAATCATAATCTTTTTTTTTAATCTTCTATTACTCCTTTGTGTAGCCATTTCAACCACAGTATTTCCAAAAGCTCACAATCTAATGCAAACAACTAAGTATTCAGTTGCAACTACGTTAAACCATTTACAGCAGGTCACAAAAAACAAAACAAAACAATATTCTCAGAGTCCGAGTAGGTAGGAAGATTGCAAAGAAAAAAAGCAGTTTTGGGTACAGAATATTGTAAATTGGATATTTGTACTTGGCGCTCATTTATCAGTAAGTGTATTAAAGCAGTGCCTCCCAATTGCCTTTGATCCTCTTTCCAAGTCTTGGTTTAATGGGTAAGCTACTAATTGCTTATTTGATTCCATAAAAAAGTCCATCTGTTCTGCAATATTTTGGAAACATCCATTTTCTTTCTCAGGCTCAGAGAGTTCCGTCACAACTACTATGAAAGAGATCTTATTTTCAACAGCTGTAATGGAAACTGAATCTGTGAGTAATTAATATGATTGTTTACAGCTTAGACTCCTTCCTCCATGGCCTCCATGCCTTGTTCAAAGGAGATTTTCGAATTACATCAAGAGATGAATGGGTATTTGCAGATATGGACCTCTTGCACCAAGTTGTTGCTCCTGCAATTAGAATGTCATTGAAACTACATCAAGTGAGTTTTCCCCTTTTCGGCAGCAAACATACTTCTTGTATGTTATGCAAACTTTATTATACTGATCATGTGGTAGGCATAACAAGGACAACCAGAACGCTTACATTGTTGGCCAGTTAAATTCAAATGAAACGGTATATGTGCGGCTGTGAATTTTTTCTAAGAAATGCACTTATATAACTCAAGCCATTAATTACTGGAAGTGTAGCTCTTAGGATGTATTTTAGTCACTTCATCATTTTACATATAATAAAACTCACCCCTCATTTATTCAACCTTTGAAAAGACATACCAACGTTGTGTGGTAAATGAATAAAAATGCATTCTTAAAGCCAGGTAATTTCAGACATTTCAATGAATTTCTCATCTTTCTCTTCGGAGGTGTCTGGTATCACCAACCAGCACAAGCTGGAGGTACCCAAAATAATTCAAACCAACTGATGTGCTAATAATGGGATTATTCCGGTGGAGCAAGCCAAAACTGCTACACACCTTCATTGTGGCTTTTTGCTACCTCTCTGCACAAATGCAGTGTGGCTTGCAGTTCCATTGAAGTTTCTAAACCTAAAACCTTTCATCTCTTCAGAAATGTTTCTGATCGTAACCATGCCTTTCCTTTAATACCAGGACCAATTCACTTGTCCAGATGAATATGAAGATCCTGCTATTCTTTATGATGCAATTCAGTCCTTTGAAGAGAAAGTTGTGATTTGTCATGAAGGGGATCCTGCTTGGCGCAGTGCCATCCTCTCAAACAAAGAAGAGCTCCTTACTTTTAGGCATGTGGTAGAAGAAGGAACGGATGAATATAAAGTTATCATGCTCCACAAAAGCTACTTAAGCTTCAAAGTAATCAAGGTACCATCACCTCTGCCTTGTTTTCATTGTCTGATGGTTGACATTCAGAACTGCTTTATTTAGAATTTTATTTCCATTCTAGCTAGGTTAAGTCTCTTGACAGAGTGGCCTAGCAAAGGTTAGAACCGGGATCTAAAGGCCATTTAACTGCAGGGTGGCAAAGTGATGGGAACAGCAGTTTCCAAGACCAGAATCAATATTTGGATAAACAGGCATGTCGGAACCCCGTGGGCTGACTCTGGTCATTGTTTTTGCTTTCTTATTTTTAAAAGCATTTTATCAACAGATGGTGGGCAATTGGGTAGGATCATAGTTTTATTATTTTTTTATTTCAAAGAAACTAGTTTGAATGGCTATTGAAATTAGCCTTCCATCCCTATTAGATCAGTAAATTCTAATCTAATTAGTGCCACTGCTTCCCAGAAGGAAAAAACCATGGGAACTCTTGTTTGAACCATTGCCCTAAAAAGACCCAACGAATCCCACAGAGTGACTAAAACATACAATGATTTATAGTTGTCATGTTTATATATTTCTCACATAATGTTTCTCATATAGCAATACAGGTAGACCTCGACTTTACAAGCACAATTGAGCCCCAAATTTCCACTACTAAGTAGACAGTTGTTAAGTGAGTTTTGCCCCATTTTTGTGACCTCTCTCTTGCCACAGTTGTTAAGTGAATCTCTGCAGTTGTTAAGTTAGTATCACTGTTGTTAATTGAATCTGGCTTCCCAATGGACTTTGCTTGTCAGAAGGTCATAAAAAATGATTCTATGACGCTGGGACTCTGCAACCGTCATAAATACATGTCAGTTGCCAAGCGTCCTAATTTTGATCACCTGACCATTGTTGCTGCAATGGTCGTAAGTTGAAAAATGGCCAGAAGTAAGTCATAAGCCATTTTCTTCAGTGTTGTTGTAAATTTGAGTGGTCACTGAATAAATGATTATAAGTCAAGGAGTGAACATGTATGTATGAATATAAAGCAGCAGTGTTCAGTTCATTGTTGAACATGGCTTGATGGAATGTCTACAGTTGATGGTGAAGGTTCGTTCTCCAAGCTTGTGGGTTGGTTTCCAAACATTACGTTATCAGGCTAGGTAACAAAGATGTTACCTAGCCTGGTAACGAAACATTTGGAAACCAATCCACAAGCTCAGAGAACAAACTTTCACCCTCATTCTACACCTGAGCTACAGATATTCGCCATTATTGCAAATGTCTACAGTTCTCAGGTGTACAAGAAGCCAACCTATGCTCATTTTAGCCTTAGTGCTAGATTACAGTATTGATAGATTCTATGTTCCTTTGGCTCCTCCTTTTTTCAAGATTGACCGGGAGCCAAGAGATGATGAAAAAAATGAACTTTTACTTCCAACAAAGCTGAAGCATTCATACAGCTGAGCTGTTACCATGCCATAAATTTTTGCATAGTTATGTATCCATCGAAGAGTACATTCTTCTCCCACTCCAGCCTGGCCTACTTAACATTGGTCCTCTTTTTAACATTGAAAGAAAAGTCTGTATCTTCAGAAATCATCTCCTGTGCTTAATATAAATCTAAATGCTCTATTTCTCATAGCAGATTATGACCCTCCCTCCTCCAATTTTTCAGAAGAAGGGTGGGAGAAATTATAGCAGGCCCAGCACTTGCAAATGGCCCTGTGGCCTTGAAGTAAGCAACTCTGCAGTGCAAACAGCAGGTGGATTGCAACCCCCGTTCATTTTCTCTCCAAAATGTTTCCACATGGTTTTGTACTTTTGTTTATTTCTAGGTTAACAAGGAATGTGTCAGAGGGCTCTGGGCAGGACAGCAACAGGAACTGATTTTTTTACGCAATCGTAACCCAGAACGAGGCAGCATCCAAAACAATAAACAGGTGTTGAGGAACCTGATTAATTCTTCATGCGACCAGCCTCTAGGATACCCCATGTATGTTTCTCCTTTGACCACATCCTATATAGGCACTCACAGACAGATGAAAAATCTCTGGGGTGGACCGATAAGTCTCGACAGCATCAAAGGATGGTTCAGAAACAAGTGGCTTAGGTAAGCAGAGATCTTCCATTGCATCTCAGCTGACATTTTAAAGGACATCTTAGGGCTCTCAAAATACAAGATAGATTTTTTTAATGAGAACTTTAAGGGATACATGCTGCCTTCTGTCTCCACTGCCTAAAATAGAGTTTATTTATTTATTTATTTATTAATTCATTTATTTATTTTATTTACTTGATTTCTATAGCCGCCCATCTCAGCAAATTACTCTGGGTGGCTATAGAAATCAAATACTACTAAGTGGAATTACTTACTGTCCACTTAAATTAGATCAGCAACCCAAAGCACTGATTTGCCTCCCCTTTCCCTCCTTATGTAGTTGTAAGAGTTATATGCACATCCTCTTTTGCCCCTCACAGCTAGTTTTGCTGTTTTACAGGAGCCCTTCCTTTCAGAAGTTAAAGCACAATAGAGATGTATCCATTCCTATTGTATTCTCATTGCATCCGGATTGAACTGAGCATCCTACATATTCAATGAACTGCCTTCATTATATTTAGGCAGTTGCTAATTGAAAGAAATATATATATACAGTTTTGTCAAATATATATTATATACAGTTTTGTCAGAACTATATATAGCATATATATAGTTCTGACAAATAGCATATATATAGTTTCAGATTTTCTGAATTTTTGTATAACATTTCCACTGAACATTAACAGCAAGTAAGAAAAGGAATCTGCGGTATAATATGCTAGTGGCAAAGATTTGTAAAACTTGACAAACAGAAAGGAGGCAAGTACATTATTGTAGAACAGTGTGTACCTCCAGAGGAATGTTGTTTTTTTTTCATCCTCTATGGCTCCATCTATCTCCAAATACCAGCTATTCTGCACCTTCCAATAATGTTGCAGTATTTTATCATTTAGATGGACTGAGAGTGAATGCCATGATGCAGAATCATCTGTTACTACTCTGTTGACACTGAACCAAATTCGCCTTTGACAAAATAACAAAGTAATACATTTGATCAAATGACCTAAATTGCAGAATTTGTAGAATCTATTCTACTTGCAGTGAATTTCTCAATTTACTATGGAACTGGGTCATAGGGTTAATAATGACATATGAAATAGCCAGGCAAATTTGTCACTTAAGATTTTCCCCCCCAGCATTTGATTTTTCAGAATTAAAATATCTGGATGAGTTGAAGAGTTTTGCAACTATTCAGAAACAGAAATAAAAGAGATCCTAAATGACCCGTGTTCTACAAACTAAGAACCAAAATGGACCTCCCAACCTTTCCTGTGACTATTTTCAGTGAGGATAATAACAACTTAAAAGAGAGGAGGAATACACTTCAGGGAGGAAAAAATGCAGGCCTTAAACATCTTTATTCCCTATGCTAGCATTCTAGTTATATTCTGAACATGGCAGCGTATCTTTTTAAAAAAAAATAGATTGTCTTGGTATGGGACTTCTACATCACACATATTAATAGTGCAGATCATAGCATGGGATCTAGCATGGTTTAGTGGTTAGAGCAGAGACTGGAGACCTGTGATCCATCAAATATTGCTGAAAAACAATCATCTTAACCCTAACATTTGCCACCAATGATGCTGACTGGAGCTGTTTGGGACTGACAATTGTAATTCAGCAATATTTGGAGGTCCCACACACCATTAGAATGTGAGGCTAAGGTCATGTTCAAATTTCCACTCAGCCATGCAGCTTATTGCTTTTCATCCACTTACATATTTTAATCTAAACTAGCTCTGAAAATAAAATGAGGAAGGGAATGACTAAATAGTGAGCTGCTTAGAAATAGGATCAAAGAAAAATGTAGGGGGGAAACATTGTCAGGAGGTATGTCCCAAGTGCAAATTCCATTACCACTGCATTTCAACACTGTTTTTTATATGAAATATTTCACTCATATCCAGTGGAATATTGAATGTGCAACTTGCACAGCTCATTGTTATTATTGGCCAAAATATTATATGTTTCACATGAGCCCAGTATGAAAGCTGACAGAGATATGTCGATGAACATCTGTCTTTCCCCTAATTTGCCAAAGAAATGTAAAGCAATTCTGAGAGTAAAACTTTCTATTATATTTTCCAAAAAACGGTCTTTCTGGTCCAGCACTGTGTTCCCACTGTGGAAAACAAAGACATTGGAAGCAAAGGGAAAGTACCTTCCTGCTTATGTTCCCCAGAATCTGCCCCTGAAAGCTCCAGTGTATTCTGGTGCTCCTGACTATCTCTTTTCTAACAGAATGCGAAAAGACTGTAACCCAAACCACAGTAGAAGAAGCTGTGAGGAAAGTGCCAGCAGGAATGGATCTTCCAGCAGTAATCCAGCTAATAATTCAAGCCAGAGCAGCAGCTCCCAGCATACAAGGAATAGCACACCCCAACTGCGCCCTTCCTTTCAAGTTGCTCAGTTCTCAGGTACTTATTCTCCGTTGCATTTATTCCCTGGCAGAAGGGTATTATAGGTTGACCAATAATGAAAATGTATAGGTGGCGTATAATGGAAGTTAAACACAAGGCATTGCAAAAAATAAAGCTATAACACGGAATGTGACACTAGACTCCTGGCTTAGTCCAAAAGATATTCCAGTGCCTAGTCAATATCAAGCTGTTCACCTGAACCCCTTGCCTTATCTGCAATGAGAGCAAATTTATGATGATGTTATATTGCAAATGACACCAATTGCATCACTTATATCATTTTTGTGATAGTATCATGACATATGGGACATCAACATGCCTTCTACTGGAGGCCTATGCCTCTATCTCACTGGCCCAGGGATAGGGATAGGCCCGTAGCAACAGAGATTTTTTTGATATCCCATGAGCCAGATTCATGAAGGAATCTTGCACTTAAACTGCTTTTGATGTCACCTCAGCTTCTTTTGAAATTAATGGGTTTAAAAAAGCTTATAACCCTGTCCTGGAACTGGGGCCGTAAATGTTGCAGTTACCTGCTGGGGTATGAGTATGCATACTGACCTTAATAATAATAATAATAAAAATATCTACCCATACGTAGTAATACTAAGCTTACAATGAATATTGCTGCTAAACTGCTCCAATTATTTAACAGTATTGTTAAATACTATTTGCTTTCACAAGCTACTCCATAGGTAATTGGAAAAACAAGCTTAACTATAATACAACAAATATGGATAACCCAAGGAAGTTTACTTTGTGCGGGTGGCCATACAAATCTTTTAAATAAATCAAATAATTTAATAATTAATTGTATTTGGCTTTATCTTTTCATCTACAGCGCTAACAGTCAAAGTTCTCTAAGTAAATTTAGGGATGGGGGGATTTAAGCTTCAAAAATGTATTTATAAAAGGATATAAAAGATTCTTTTGTTTCCTACGTATTTGGAGAAATTGAGTTATTTATGTGGAAATATGGGTGGTCTACTATAAAACACTTTAACCACTGAATTAAAGACATGTATGGGATATTTTTGGACATTGGTCAGATTAACTGTTTAAAATGAGAGCAGATGTTTAATTACTTTTGACTGTGAATGTCAGCATACCAGAATTCTCATCATACAGTGCTTCCTAGCTACAGCATATTTTTACTTTTTATTTAACAATATTAGCATTAAAGTAATCATCAAAGAATGAAATTTAAGAAACTGAAAAAATGAACTTTTCTATGAGTCTGCAACTAAAACTTTCCTACTCCACTTCTAACTGCAATAACATTTAAAGGTTTACATTCAAAAGAATATCAGAGGATTAATAATTTTACAACTTTAAAATAGAAGGTAGTGGGGTACAACATAGATTAACTACAAAAATGATTTAGTATATGCTTAATTGTTCCAAGAAGAAAAAATAGAATATTTAAGTGTTGCTTCCAATATAAAACTAGTTCCCATATAAGTTTTAATTATTATTTCATGTGAATTTAATATATAGTAAGCCAAGTAGATTTTAATAGAAAACACACATTGATCACAGTATGTACACATATATGTATGTATTTATTATACATTGTTACTCATGCCGTTTAAGAATGAGTTACACTGTATTGCCAGTTCTCTTTATTTTTATTCCCATACCAACAACTCGATGTCATAGCTTGAGTAAAAAGAGACAGTAGCTCAAAGACATCTAGGGATTTCCACGGTTAAGTCGAGACTTGCTGAGAATCTTTGCCTTTCATAAAAGTCTAAAATTCATATCTAGTTTTACTGATTCTGAATTGTGCCTGCTTGCAGGAACCAACTGCAGATTCTCCACTATGGCACAATTTTTGGCATTGGTCCTGCCAGGAGCCACAAAGTGAAATGAGGCTTTACAAAATGGTTCACATCAATAAGTATGAATAAGTGAAGTATTCCTACATTGTTACATCTATTATTACATCTATTACACTACTACTACTGCTGCTACTACTACTAGGAGCATGATGGCACATGTGGTTAGGACACTGGCTTGACAAGCAGCAAGTCTGTGTTCAAGACCTGAGTGGTCCATGGGGTGGGATGAACTCCCGTCCTTTGCTCCAGTTCCTACTGGGGACATGAAAGGAGACCCCCAACTGGGTATCCCCCAGACAATGGTGATGTCACCGCCTAATCCTTTCAACCCAGAAGCATCTCGGAATGAACTGCTACTACTACTATTACTACTACTACTACATAATGTAGAGTGATTTAGGCAATTGTTGAAAGGTGTCTTTGTATTATTATAGAATAACCTGGGCTGTGAAGCATATTAGACTTGTCCAACTATACACACACTAAATTATTTATCACCTATTTATTTATTTATTTATTTATTTATTTAGGCGGCACTTACTGTCTATTGCTGTCTTCTCAATTTTGACTTTGTATGCATTTGTCCTTAAGGCTTGGTCTTATGCAGCAAGAATTAGTCCCTCGGTCTCTTTCTTCAACTTTCCTGCTCTTAGCCATTGCCAGGTCTTGTTATTATCTGCTTTCCCAGCTATTTTTTTAATGTACTGGCCATGTAGTGCTTTGTCTATTCTGTTCTTCATTTGGTCTTTCTTGTAGGCCAGTTTGGTCTCTCCAGTAGTCAGTAAGCCTTCCTGATATACTAATTTCAGTGCATCTTCATCATTGTCCTTCAGATATTCTTCCAAAGCCATTTTTTCTTCTTCAACCATCTGATGTACTTACAGCATTCCACGCCCACCTATTTGCTTTGGTAGATAGAGTCTGTCAATGTCACTGCGTGGATGAAGGGCATGATTCATTGTCATTATTGTTCTGGTCTTCCTATCCATTGCTTTTAGTTCTGCTTGAGTCCAATCCACTATTACAGCTATGTACTAATGACTGGAATTGCCCAGGTGTTGATTGCCTTCATGGTATTTCCTCCATTGAGTTTGGACTTTAAGATTTTTTCACTCTCTTGATGTATTCACCTCTAATCTTTTTCTTGACTTCAGTGTGCTTGATGTTGTCAGCTTGAAGGATACCCAAGTATTTGTAGTAATCTTCCTCATACAGACTCTTAATGTTATTTTCGTGGGGCATCTTGATTCCTTCAGTTTTCACTATTTTTCCTTGTTTGACAGTAAGTGTGGCACATTTGTCCAAGCCAAACTCCATTGCAATATCTTGGCTATATATACGGACAGTGTTCAACAGCGATTCTATTTCAGATGATGTTTTTCCATACAGCTTCAGATCATCCATGTAAAGGAGGTGGGATAGCCTGGCAGATGTTTTTGATGTTTGATAGCCATGTCCTGAGTTATTCAGTATTGTTGACAGATGAAACAGTGCAATAACAAATAGTAGTGGTGATAATGAATCTCCTTGAAATATTCCTCTCTTGATATTAACCTTTCCCAGTCTTTCACCATTGACCTGCAACTGTGTCTTCCATTGTGCCATCGATCTTTGCACAAATTTTCTGATGGTTTTACTGACTCCTGTTATTTCTAGGCACTTGATTATCCAGTCATGTGGCAGAGAGTCAAATGCCTTTTTGTAGTCAGTCCATGCCACATTCAGGTTGGTCTTCCTTTTCTTGCAGTTTTCAAGATCATTTTGTCTATTAGGAGTTGATCTTTTGTTCCTCTACTATTGGGGCGGTTTCCTTTCTGCTCAGGTGGAAAGAGATTGTTTTCAACTAGATGGTGTTGTACTGCATCAGCTGCCACACCAGGTAGCAATTTGAAAGTTGTTGGTAAGTAGGTAATTAGCCTGTAGTTGCCTGGTGTTGCTCCTTTTTCTGGATTTTTCATTATTAGGTAGGTTTTCCCAGTTGTTAGCCACTTTTCAATTTCTCCTCCTTGTAGTATGTTGTTGAACTGCTTGCAATGAGTGGGTATATAACAGTTAGATGTTTCAACCAAAACCCATGTAGTTCATCTTCACCTGGTGCTGACCAATTTTTGATCTTCCTTGCTCTTTTTTCTACCATTTTTGTTGTTATTACTAGTTCTTTCATTTCAACTTCTGTTTTATTTGCATCTACCTCTTTTAACCAAGCCGCATCCTTGTTGTGTTTCTTTGGTTATCCCATATCTGCTTCCAGAACTGCACTGTTTCTTCCTTGTCAGGTACTGACTGATTCATTGCAGTTTCTCCATTGATGGATTGGTAGAAATGTTTCTGATTGGATTGAAATTGGAGGTTCTGTCTATAATTTGCAATTCGAGCTTCATATCTACTGATTTTCCTGGCTATAGCTATTATTTGCTGCTTTATTATTTCCAGTGCTTCCTTGATCTTTCTTGTTTCTAAGTGGTATTTCTTGATTAGGTATTTTTTGGTGGTCTTGTTCTTCAGCTTCTTTTCTTTCATCTGTTCTAGCTTGCTTGCATGTGATCTTAACTTACTGATCTTATTTTCTAGTCTAACCTTCCTTTTTTGTGGTGCACTGTTTGTTTTTCTTCTTTGTTGATTTTGCATCAGGTATTCAGTTATAACTGCAGCTGTGCTGTACATTAATTGGTTTGTTTCTTGCAGTGAATTGGTGCTTATACTTGATATTGCAGTATTTGCATCTTTTAATGCTGTTTCTTTGGAACAAGCTTCAATGCAGGCAGCCTTATTCTGATGTTTTTGTGCTGTTCTAGATGCTCAGTTATTCTTTGTTTCAATTCTTTTATTTCTTTGGTTAGAGGGCTTCGTTCTTCCTGAGGAAGAGGTGCCTGGTTTCCAAATGAGAACAGTTGTATATCTCTGCTGGATTCCTTCACTGCCAACTCCCCCTAGTTTGCCTCTACATTCTGAATTACTTCTGGCAAGGCTTTGGTTTCTTTGCCCTGGGTGAACTTTTGCAGTTCGTCCAATTCTATTTCTGTGAATACTTTATTTTGTATTATAAATCAGCATTGGTCTGCTAGTCTCTGTTCTGTTATTTCTGATTCTGGATGTTGTTCTTTCCAGAACTGCTGCATTAGTTTTAGATATCCTCTTCTTGTTGGACTTGATCTGTAATAATAGATCATTATTTCTTTGTTTTCAATCACTGTGTATTTGCGATGGGTAAACACCTTTTCTTCCAGTAGTTATATCATCATCATCATCATCATCATCATCATCATCATCATCATCATCATCATCATCATCATCATCATCATCATCATCATCATCATCTTTTCAAAGCCACTGCACTAAACTTTGTGATAATGCAAGCCACTGTAAACTTATTGCAATAGGACAGAGCCATAGAAAGCTAAAATGTTCTTTCTGGAATAATTGCTATTCAACATCTGCTAAAAAAAAGTACTGTAGGTTATATGATTAGCCAGATTAGCAAAATATATATCCTTAAAGCCTTAGCCATGGTGGCGCAGTGGTTAGAATGTAGTATTGCAGGCTAACTCTGCCCACTGTCAGCAGTTCGATCCTGACCGGCTCAAGGTTGACTTAGCCTTCTATCCTTCTGAGGTCAATAAAATGAGGAGCCAGATTGCTGGGGACAATATGCTGACACTTTAAACCGCTCAGAGAGTGATGTAAAGCACTAGGAAAGCGGTATATAATTCTAAATGCTATTGCTATTAAACCTCTTTCAGATTTTCTGGTTAAGCATGTTTATTAAACTGGTCTCTTTGAAAAAAAATATTTGTGAGTAGTGTTTTGCACTGGGCATTAATTGAATAGTGGGGAGATGATTTCAAGGGTTTAATTATGGATAGAGTTTCTCCAAATGATTTTTTTCTTTTCTTTTTCAAAGGCAGGAGAAAATTCAGGAGCCAGTCTGTTCAGACTCATGATGCTTTGAATCAAAAGCCCCCTCGCTCAAGTCATTCTGGTCCAATCTTAGAGAGTCATCCACCCTTCATCCAGACTTCCACTTCGGCTCAGGAAATTGCCCCAAGACTTTCTGACAGCCAGCTCTCCTTCCACAATTCTGCAACCTCTGTGTTCTCCCCAACCGCTGCCATCCCTATCTTGGGCCAACTAACAGTGCAGGAGCGAGCTGGGGCTGTGCTCAGGTCTAGTCTGGCCTCATCCACTAGTTCTACTCTCAGCCTCTTGTTTGGTAAAAGAAGCTTCTCAAGCGCGCTGGTCATTTCTGGGCTCTCTGCAGCTGAAGGAGGAAACACAACAGATACCCAATCATCCAGTAGTGTTAATATTGCAATTGGGCCGTCTGCTAGAGCAGCAAACCGTAACAAGCAGGAGGCCATACGGGTAAGATATAGCCCAAAAGGTGAACTTGATGCCTTATTCTGTCCTGAAGAAAGCCTGTCTATATAGTTGTTAAGATCTGTAACCAACTGGATGGCAATTAATCAATTATAGTGCCTTGTTCTGCCATTGGGATTGGTCATTTATGGCTCCTGAACCACGTGTAACTACAAATGCTTGCTTCTATGGCATATATAGTTATATTAAAATTATAATATGAAAGGGTCCAAGGAGAAAGGTGGATTAGGCAGCCACTGATTAAATTCGTGTTTAGGTTATTTGAGTAAGCATTTGACAATATTGCCACTTTATCACGCTCCACAAAAGTGGTATCAGCTATAACTACATCACAAACGCCCCTGTTGCTACTAAACCTTAGATCGGTTTTGTTGATTACTCCATATCTGGAACCGAATAATATTTAGTAAATTCCTGAACTGTTTTTGCAAGTGCCTGGGTTGGTTTTCTGGTTTTACCGCAATTCCTTCTGTTATATTAGATGTTATAGATTATTCTGAAAGCTGAGATATCAAAGTGAAAATATCTGGTGACCATGTACAACGTTGAACAGGGCCTCCAAATACTGACTCTTTTTGGCAATACTTCTTTGAACGGTGCTGTTAGAACACTAATGATCCTGTCTCTATTTTTCAAAAGCAATTGTCTGATGATTATGAAGCAACTGATGCTACTGAATCCAGACGGCGGCGGGACCTGGGAACCACTCACGCACTCCTGATAAGCCATATGGTGGAATGCAGAAGGGCCAGCCAAGAAGATATGGCACTAGAAGACTCTGCTTCTCAACACAGCCTTTCCGAAGAGTAATATAGAGCAGGGGTCTCCAATCTTGGCCCCTTTACGACTTGTGGACTTCAACTCCCGGAATTCCTCAGCCAGCATGGCTGGCTGAGGAATTCTGGGAGTTGAAGTCCACAAGTCGTAAAGTGGCCAAGGCTGGAGACTCCTGATATAGAGGATGCTCGCGGAAGGGATAATGCCTTATAAAGCCGATTTTTTTTTAAAAAAAAAAATGGGTTAGTTTGCCAGAGGAATGAGTAAAACAAACAAAAATTAAAGGATCTTTTTTTTTTTGACCCTTCACAAGAAAGCCCTCCGTAAAAAAAACGTAGGGAGATAATATCTCACTAATAATATTTACTGCTGCCCACATCACAGGTTACTGGAATTCCAAATTTGATTTAAAAGAAAAAAATGATTTTGGCCATCTATTCTCTGCAAAGGAAAACACTAGGCAGTATTACTATTGGGGTGGTTTGCAGGGAGGACTGGGGGCAGATCGGTACACGTTTGGTAGCGGGACTGAAAGCAAAAGAAAATCTGAATGCAGTTCAGTGAAAAAAGCACATCAACATCTGTCTCTTCTCATAACCAAATAGATGATTGCATGCTAAATAATGGGCTTTTTATACATAATGCATAAAAAAGGATTGTTTGTAATTGAGGCAATGAATATGGAACAGGAAAGAAAGCTGCCTACTCTGAGATTAGTATGCAGAATCTTTTTTTTAAACGTCAGAGGAAAGCCGCCTTTGTTTTGAAGGGTTCTGGAACAAAGGAAAATTGTTTAGTCTAACTGTTGCTTTCTCGCTTTTTGTAATCAGCTTTTGCACCAGGGAAATCTCATGCAAGCGTGAGAATCATGTACATGGATGCGATATACTGAAGGAGGGAATAAGGGAGTGTACAGGAATGATTGATGTCTTTCTTATGATGTAATGGCTCCGTTGTCTGATTTTCATTGGCTAACAAAGTTTATAAAGCAATGCTATCAACTTTCTAAGGCGTGGCACTTCTGGACGTAACTCTGCCAGCGTTCCAGATTGTTGGCCACCCAGCTGCTTAATTTGATCAAACAAAGTGCTGCTTGATCAAGAAGTCTCCGCTTGGGTTATCTGATTAGATTGATATGATATCTCAAGTTCACGTAAGGGACTGGGACCTTACAGTTTGAAGTGTTACGCAGCTGACAATTTTGTGCTGCAACGTATTAATTGTGGAGGTGGTCCACTGCATGCAGCCATAAGGAAATTGTCCATAAAAGTGCCAGGTGACATACTATTATGAACCAAATGTAGCCGATGCATGAATAGTCTTCACAAAGCCGACAGTGCTTCTTATTTGCAAATCTCTGCAAGGTTGTTCATCCTCACAACAAAACGCCATGCCTTTTTCTGCAACCGAGAAACTTAACGGCTCGAAATTGCTTTTGTGTTCTCTTACATGAACAGACTTGTTGATTTGTTTTGTAATTAAAAACTTTACAAGTACCAGTGTCTGATTTTGTCGCTTTACAGAATTTACAGTATTTTACACAATCTATATGAATAAAAATGTAAATGTTCGTTTGTTCAAAATCTTAAATCTCTGAAAGTTCTTCACCGATTGCTTTGAAATTTTGACACAACGTTGCATTCGAATACGCGCGTGTTTTTATATACCTATTATTATATAGATGTCACACCTGTGACATCTTTTCCATTTAACCAGACTGAGCCACAGCAACGCGTGGCCGGGTACAGCTAGTATATTTATATATTTGTAGAAGGTGCATGCTGCTTTGGGTCTTTTTTCTTACCTTCTTTTATTTCTAAGACATGGCTTATTTTGCACCCAAGTTGTGGGTGCTTATATGTGTTTCCTTTAAGAGCTTAACATGGTGTTGACCAAGTTCTTGCCTCGGGTTTTTTTGTTTTTTTTTTTTTGCTTACCCCAGCAATTGTGAGGTGGGTTGAATTGAAAATGACTCAAAATAATCTGGTGGGGTTCAAGGCAGGTGGGGTCTTAAACCTCAATTCTCCCAGGCCAACTTCAATCATGAATGCATGTTGACTCAGGTACAACAACTGAGCCTGTATTTGCTATCTTGTCCTCCTACCTGGCATTATATAAATGGGATCAGAGAGACATGCTGACCTTCTGCAGCTCTTTGCAGCTTCTGAAACTGGGATGGAGCTTCTTCTTCTTTTTTTAGCCATTAATTCCAACAGAATATTTAGCTATTCTCTGCCCCCTTCCCCTCCGCACATTTCTCCATGGTTTCAAAGTGAATTGCACAGTTACAGTAGTCAATAGAATCAACTCCCTGAACCCCACTTTTGATACAAATTGAATTGCAAGCTATTCTTGCCTGAGATTAATCTAAGCAGTGTGGAAGGAGGCCGTTGGCGATAAACCTAAGACTATCTTCCCATAGGGATCTCCAAATTACTCTCTTATGCACTAACTCCTCCAGAATCCAGAAGTCTAAGCTCAGCATTCATTTTCCTTCATTAGTCACTTATAATCCTTTGGGAGACAATAACAATAATCCTCTAGTACTGTTGTTACCCTCAACAGGTAGTTAGAAGTATAATCTGCTACTTGCAAAATTCTAAAACTGGAAGGTAGCCACTTTGTGTCTAGGGACCCCTTCCTTCCTTCCTTCCTTCCTTCCTTCCTTCCTTCCTTCCTTCCTTCCTTCCACCAATCTATAATAATACATTCATTATAAGGCAAAGGGTGCAAGATTGCCATGCAGACTGCCACCCACTGTTACTATTAGAAGTAGTATTAGTGCTTGCTTTGAAAGGCTAGTGCTTTTGTGATGCAAAGGAGGAAATTTATGCCATGTCCATTGCAAGCATCTGTGCATCCTTAGTTCAGGTTTGCAAAATTCTAAATAAGACTGATCGGAGCATGCTATCTGCCTAGGCTCACTTGCTTCAACAGAATAACATGTTTTGTTGCACTTACTCTGACAATATTATTTGTCTCTTTATGCCTTATCAAGAGCCTCTTACTGCAGTTAAGGAAACACAGTATATAATATTGTCCAGACTTTCAAAAGTGTCTATAGGGAAGAGCAAAGGGCAGGGCAGATACTAAAATGAATGCTGCATCATTATGTTGCGAGTTTTTGCTCATATGTTGTGACCGAGGCACATATGAAATATACACAGCAATATATTGACGAAGCACTGGATCCTGAGGACTCTTCTGCAACCTTTTTTTTTAGTCAGGTAGCCAAACTGGCTGATGATGTGAATTACAATCCAACATAGCCATTTGGAAAATTTTCAGTTTGATGAAATGTACTTGCTGCATCTTAGGCCTTAAACAGCAACATCAATATGACATTCAAAGCTTATGCAGTGTTTTGGATTAAAAGTGTATTCAGTGTTCTTGCAGTCAAAATGTAGCATAGATCTGCAACTACATAATCCAGTGGTGTTCTTTTCTTGGATTGTGCGGTAGCTAAAAGATGTAGCCATGCAATTCTAGAAAAAGGTGTAACTGCAGTTTGATACATGTTGCTGCTTCCCCCACATAGAGACACACAAAATCCAACACACACAATCTGGAACAATTTTTTGCCTTTGAATCCAAAGTGCTGCACAGCCGGATCAAATTCTCATCTGGTATGGGATTGAATTCTATGCTAGTATAGCATCAAAGTAGTATCGTATAGTTCTTCTATACTATAGAACTAGTATAGTACCATAGTAGTACTTTAGATAGAACCAGGCTAGTATAGAACTTCAGCAAAAAGAAATGTTCTGTGATGAAACATAGGGCAGCTGTATTAGGAGATATTTACAGGCAAAAAAACATTTTGTGCCTTTCATATGATAATTCCAGAAAACACATGAACAACTGTTTTACAGTGCTGCAGGGATAATTTTCTTATGTCAGGCAATTCTCTAATAGTTGGAGGCAAAGCGGAAAATGATACACCTGTCACACATTCTCTGTGATTTTAAACTTGCATTGTTTGCTTCTAATTTTCCTGGAATGGATTCAAGTAATCTTTCATGCACAAATCCACAGCTGTCCCGTGTTGATTTTAAGGGCATTGTTTACTAAAGTCACAAATAGCTCAAAAAGCACACCAAGGCCCCACTGATACTTGGCAGGAGTTTCAGAGTTGTTGTTTTTTTTACACAGCCTTTTTTTCCTGAATCTATTTTGCTTCTTCCAATATTTATTTTTCCTAGTACTTTCTAATCCCACCATTTTAAGCTTGGCTTTTCTTTTCTGCTTCTTCGTAAACCATTTCCATTCCATTCAGGAGTGGTGCTTGCCTAACAGATACTGTAGAGATGGTGTTATTTTCCTTTGAATTTCAATCTAATTTCTAGCCTCTTTTTCCCAAGGTTTTACTATTACAATTGCAATAGCACTTAGACTTAGAATATGCAATATTCAATCAAGGCAGGTATGGACGTTCAAGAAAAATCTCTTTTGGAACTGCCTGAAAACTGGTGAGATGTGCAAAAAAAGAACCCACAGTGCTCTGCAAATGATCTGCTGAAAAGTTTATTGGACACTAAACAGTTGTTCCTTATGAGTGATGATCTACTTCAGAAGTCTCCAAACCAGGCAACTTTAAGACTTGTGGAGTTCAGTTCTCAGAATTCCTCTGGCAGCATGGCTGGCTGAGGAATTCTGGGAGTTGAAGTCCACAAGTCTTGGCATGTTTGGAGATCCCTGATCTACATAGAAGATTTGCAGGAAAAAAAACTTTGCTCCACCACCATCTAAAACAACCAGAAGAAAAATTTAGAAACTTCAGATGTTTAGGAACTAAGTGCTATGGAGTAATGAAACAAACAAAAAATTGAACTGTTTGGCCACAACCTAAAAAATAGGTTCAACTAAATATCAATATACAGTATCTGACAAGCTGATGTTCCATATTTACTGAAGAAATCAAAGCTGAAGAGAGCTTGGATAATTTAGTAAAATAATGATATGAAATATGCTTCCATATGAACCATGAAATACAGGAAATAAGGGTTTTGGAATGAACTTCCCAGGCCCCAGAC